TGAGTCAAATTGAACTTTCACTTTGAAATGTTTGCAGGATGAGCGAGACGCTGCAACGTACGTCATTCTGAGGGTGAATTATTAAATGTCACTAACACCTCCCTCTCTCCTGCACAGAGGGCATAACGTGTTGCAGATGCTCACGGTGTGAAGACGTGGCGCAGTACAGAGCAGGATGTGCTTCTAAGTCGAGACAAAAATGTAGTTTCTGATGTTCTGCTATTGATACCAGCTGGGGTGTTTTTTTTATCTCCCTTGCCTGAGGAGAACAGATACGCACGGTTTGAAGGCTGAGTGTTAAGGCAGGAAGTTAGTGTCGGATATAACAATAAAAAGCTTATCTCAGTGTAATAAACACACACACACACACACACACACACACACACACACACACATAAAACCTCACTACAATGACGGGAAACAATGCAAATAAATACAGTGAACGTGGCAAGAAGAGGCACGAGAAGCACAGTCTGACAGCATCACATGGTGCTTTAAACCCCCTATGTTAGCATTTTAAAACACTTCATGAATATTTTATAATAGGGCTGCAATAGGAACGCTTATTTTCAATTACAATGAATTGCATTTTGCTTTCTAAATGTGTTGTTTAGTGAATAAGTGTTGAAATGCATTGTTTTTTCAGTCAGAAACTCACATTATTTCTCATTACTATGATAAGAAACAGAAAAAAACATATTTGAGAAGCTAATTTAAATATGTTCTGAAATGTTTGCATGAAAAACTCAAATATCAAATGAAATGCCAATAATTGTTCCGATCAATCGATTAACAATTGCAGCGGTGGTTTATAACTCACTATATATTATTAATGCATGTCTATCACTATAGCGCCTCCTGTGGACACCCATAATGTTACATAACTGTTGATAGGAGAACTTATGATATTTGATATAAAAAATGTCCTTAAAGCTGCTTATAACTACAATAAAATGTGTTATTGACGCGTTATAAACTGCTTATAGGGGATTTAAAGTGTCATACATTACTATTGCTGACATTCTGTGCTTTAAAGTATTTCTATAGTAATGTTTAGTGATACTAGGAATTTCAAAAACGACCTTTCTAACACAGCACCGTCATTATCACACAATGTAAGTCAATGGCACAATGAATTGTTTGAACTTTTGTGCTAAAAACGAATGGTTTGGCAACGCTTTCGGAACAATTTGACCTGTTGGGGGATGCACTTGTTCTTATCGAGGGTGAGATGATGAATTGAAACCACTCGGATGTTAAAGTGGTTTCCTTTTTAACAGTTAACCGTCTGCAAGAATGGGAATTTCCCGGCAAGTTGAATGACTCTTTTAATGAGACGAAGTGTTTGCACGAACCATCAGCTTCTTTCCAAACACTCGAGCACACTTTTCTCAACATGAGGTTCATTATTAGAGATGTTCTTTTCCAAATCAGACCCAGGCTCAGAGGAACGGTCACTTTTCAACGTGTTTTTGTGTCAAAGTAAACAGCAATTATTGATATGTGTAGTATATGTAATGTGTAACGTCCACTAAAAGTTTGTTTGGGCTCAGATTAATATAACAAATGCCTGACAAATGAATGTATAGTATTAGTATGCTTATATGGAGCTACATCCAGCCGCTAGTTAGCTTAGCTTAGCATAAAGACTGGACTGATTCTTTCCAAATGTACAAACAGATCCGTCTACCTTCCCCCCTTAAACTCACTAACTTGGGGTTTTTAGTGACACTAGATGTATTTCTTTAGCTTCATTAGAACAAAACCTAGTGACAAATGATTTCATTGACTTCACATGTAATTCGAGACTCGAGGAAGCGGCTAATCGGGACAATAAGTTAGAAATATGTGGAGTTTTAAGAGAGAAATGTACATATTTTTGTCAAAGTACAAGTTTGTTTTTAAACACTTATATCTGGAGGATCTGACGTGGGACTGCAGGGAGAGACTACGGGAGCAGATCAAGGTAAAAATATGATTAATGTCTCTCTGTCAGACACTTGTATAATCAATGTAAGTTTGCGGGGGGGTAAAAACTAACTTTTAGTGGATCGACTTTGGCAAAATGTAAAAAAACTGGTAAAATAAAATCCCCTTAAGTTTCTCTGATCTAAAAACAGAACTTAAAAAAACCCACATGTTTATCAAAATACTAAATACTACTCACTCATATTTTGGTTACGATGAATCGATGCTGTGTGTGCCCAATGGAATAAGTGCAGGAATGTAAATGCAAACACACACATCAGCCATTATCTCCAGACGCTGTTGAGAAATGATATTTAAGTGGAAAAGAAAACCTACAAAGAGTGCTGGTTAATACAATGTGTAGTAGTGTTGTGAAACGTAGCATATTTTCTGTGCTTGAAATGACCAACACGTCAGAAATCGACACTCAAAAGGCTCCGAATACATATTTGGCAACGACTCCTCAAATCTTCATCTTCACAAACTGAAGACAAAAATATCTCCTGCATCAAAACTCACGCAGGCACTTTGTCCGTTTTGAAAAGGGAAAAAAAAGCAGCTCAAATGTAACGGTGACGTCTGGAAGACTCGGTGCAAAAAGGCTGAAATCAATTCCTGTCTGAAGGACGCTTCGGGGGAATTCCAACATCACTGACTTTCACTTTGATAGACAGGGGTTTTCACTAAATATCCACACGCAAAGAACTGAAGAAATACTGGGAGCATCTTTTTAAAAAAAAGCTACTTAAACACGCACAATGATGTTCCACTTTTACCTCGAACATGAGAACATAAACACCACATCTTCTGACTTCCCTATTTGGGGTTTTAGCTGCTTTCGTACTTGTATACACCACATCCGGAATATGCATCCATGTGTTTCACCGCAGTGCATTAGCTCTGAACCAGTATTAGAAACTGAAGTATTCAAAGCACACATCTCTTGTTGGACGTAGACACACGGCCACTTTTAAACATTATCAAAAACTTGGATATGAACTAGTTTTGGAGCACGAAAGCTTTTCAAAAAGTGGGATGAAGGAATGGAGAAGGAAGCTGTCTCTCACGTTGGAAGATGTGAAAATATAAGTCAATCTAATAGGGGAATCATTCGAGTGCCCTGAAAAGTCAGTTTTGCAGGAATCCCCCCCGAACACCCGGGAAAGCTGTTGTAGGAATATGATCTGCAGAAAGAAAAAGGCACTGAGTTTGTGTTTGATGCTCCTTTAGACACGGCTTCTGGATCTCATCGTCAGAGGGATTGTAACAGCAGGAGAGATCGACGCTTAATACTGAGGACCACATGCAGCATGGTGTGTGTGTGTGTGTGTGTGTGTGTGTGTGTGTGTGTGTGTGTGTGTGTGTGTGTGTGTGTGTGTGTGTGTGTGTGTGTGTGTGTGTGTGTGTGTGTGTGTGTGTGTAAGAGAGCGTAGGTGGTGAGGTATTACAGTTGCTGGGAGCTCAGGAGGGCTGGCGTGGCTCTGATTGTGCTGCAGGACAGTAGAGTCTCAGGTCTCAAAGTACTTGTAGATGGCGGTGACGTAGGTCATGACGCTCTGCCAGTCGGGACGCTCCGTGTGCGCCATCTCATTCAAGTCCTGCAGCGGGGGAACAACACAGTCAGAGAGGAAATCGAACCATCAGATCAGTCACCGGTTAAGAATGAAGAGGTCTCTGTGTCCGTGCTCCATAATAGACAAACTAAATATTGAATTATAACAACAACAAATCAGCGTTTATCAAATCATTATTATACAAGTCATATGCTAAGCTAAGCTAACTGTTTCCTAGCTACCCCATGGATGTAGAATAAGAACTGGATACAGCATAGAAGGCGGGCTCTCGTTCTTTCCTATGAGAGCTGCTCATTGGTGCATGAGGGCAAAATGGCCCAGCTTTTGAGAGAGCGAAACGTCACAGATTACCCATCATGCCTGGCTGCCAAGAGCAGAAGAACCCGCATGTGCGCTCACAGAGCAGGACGCCCTTAACGCCCCGCCCCCCAAGCTCCCACTCTCAGCTCAGCAGAATGAATGGAGAGAGAAAATAAATCTAGATTCGGCTTTTAGTGCATTTTACAACTTTAAGGACCGAATCTAATAAGGGCTAATAACTGCAGGCATTTCTTATTTATGGTAAGAAGTGTTTCGGAAGTTTGTGGAGACGACGCACACCCATCGAGATCGGGGGCCCTTCACGCGGCTGAGACTACTTTTATAACATCACAGGTTTGCCGCCATGATGTGGAGTTGACGAGCGCCCCCCGACCGCGTAAAAAGTGTTAAAAAAAACTAGTGTGTGTACCGTTGTCGTGCGTGAGAGGAGGTGCCGCGTTGTGAGCGTTTGGAGTTTATTTGGATGGGTCATAG